TTTACGAATCTGTCCTGTCTGTCTCACGGTCCTGAGCCAATTAAAATATGTTAAAATAATAAATTAATAACGCTCGTTAGATAATATGTTAAACGGTAGGTATAACTTACAAGTAAACTTAATACGATTTACAAAGTCAACATTATAATTATTAATTATATAAAAACATAGCTGTTAATTTGAGAACAAAGTGTTTTTAAAATAGAATATTGATTGTAAAATATCGTAAATAAATTATTTAAGTAACAAACAAACTGCCGGTAGATAAAACATAATTCAATGTACATGGAGATTTTTTTATAACTGGTTTTACGGCTCTGGGTTCTAGCCCTTCTGAGCCTTACGTCACAATGTATAATTATCCTACATAGTACACGCGTGGCTCTACATGAGAACGCATCACCATCAGAGCACTTGTTTCACCGTTTTCACTAATAGTTCACATGCGCAGACACTTAATACATAAATTCGCACCACCTGTACATATCAAAATCCATTTCAAACTATTATTTAAACAATAATACAGTAGCAGTAAGCCGCTGCCGGTCAAGTTATTAATAAATATAATACGTATTAATAAATAACTTTGAATAACTTCATGGGGACAACAAGTCAATGCAAATGAAAATAATATACTAGTTTAAGCTATGTACGAGTAGCAGTAAAAATTGGTTAACCGGACAACTCTTCCATTTGATTTTGATAAATCTTCGCTAGTACGAATGCTGAGAACAGGAGAAGTGTCGTTTGCTTGTACTAAGATGCTGCCGTATCTAATCCAAGTGTATCTGAAACCATGCTTTTTAGCAGCTTCCTGAACCTCACAAAATAAAATTTTGCTTTTCAAACTAAGGTGCTCATTAAAATATACCTTGTGTTTAGTTCCAGGCATTTGTAATTTTTCTGTCGTTAAACCTTTCACTTTGCGAGCTGCTGAAAGAAATCTATCACGTAACATCCGATTCGCAAACTTAACAATGGTATTCTTAGGGCGCCCACTTTTATATCTGAAATTAAACTTTCGTTTCGTTTTCCTGGGAAATTAACAGTTTCAATATTGCACTGGCGTGAGTTAAGCTCCAATATGTCAAGCATGTTTCCTACCTCCATATTCAGATCTTCTTTATTTCCGGATGATTTAAACAATTTTTCTTATTCAGATAAACAACTACGAATCTCTTCAGTTTGGTTTTTAAGTCGTCATAATTGTCATTAACAAATTGCATTGAAAATTTCAATTCTTTGAAATCTTTAACTAACTTGGTTAATATATTGGAACAAAGTTCCTTAATTAAAAAGTTTAAAATTTTTCCGTCATATTCCCTATCTATAATACGATCGAGATGGAATAATATTAATCTCCCTCGCACATTTTTTCTTATCTTGCCATGAAAGAAAAATTTATTTTATTTTTAATGTAGCTTCATTTTGTTAGACGCTAGTAATTCATTTATTTGTATTTGTTAATTAATAATATAATACGTTTGTCAATAATAATATGCTACGAAAGGTACTTCGTTCCAACTGAATATTCCACGACACTTACACAAGTTTTTTATTCTGTTTGTCGAAAAACCATTTCTCTTTCCCAATTTAGATAGATAATAGTCGGGCGGACATAATTTTTCTATTAGAGAGCAGTCTATACTCATTTTAGAATAAGGAGATTTGTTGGCGAGTATTATTGAGAGACATGAAAGTAAGTAACAATGATTGCTATCCCTGCATATTTATTGCTTTGTGCGATAATTAGCTGAAGTGCGCTAACACTATTCGTAATTTTATGTACACAATTTAGTCACTAAGCGATCGGAGCAAGCACGAATGCACTGAATGAGATACGCCTAGGTTGCAGGAGAGCGCGATAAAATATAAAATTTCATATTATGAATTAAAATACTGATATAAGTTTTTGGGGTGCTAGAATATTTATCATTTTGTGTATTTACCTAAGCCGTGAAGTCACACAATCCCAGCCGCAATACAAATTACGGCAATGATAGTAAATTATTTTTTAATTTTTAATATGTTTACAGTTTGCGGATTATATCTGGCGCCATGGCATTTTTCCAACGAGATGTCCACATAAAACTAAGATCGGAATGGACGAGGTAATTTTATAGATTAGCAACATTAAAAACATACTAGTTTTGACACACAAGTTTCTCTTTCTCCAAGAACAAATCCTATTTCTCAAACTGAAAGAAGAACATTATTCATCATATGAAGGAAGGAACTTTAGTAATTTGTTATTAGATACAAGAGAAAAAGACTTAAAATCTATGGCAGTAAACCGAGCAATTATTCAAGTAATAGATATTAGTTAACATACCTGAGATGCATATCCAAAGCACAGATTAAAAATGGACATGCACCATGCACAAAACAAGTATTGCAAACCTAATTAAGTAATTCTTAAATAGTAATAAAGAAAAAACTACAATGTAAAAATCATATGTTAAGCATCGGATTCCTTGTATGAGGTGTGCTTATCCACTAGTTTAATCATTTCATTAAAGTTTGGTAAAAAAAATTACCTCCCGTACATCCGCTCGATAAAATAAAATGATGTTACTTAACTAGATTGAAGAGCACCACCCGTCCTTCCTCAATTGCGTGCACTATCCCCGTAACCACTAATCCCAGCACCACTAATCCCAACAACACTACACTAGGAAAGACACGCCACTGACGATAATACGACACGTGTTTCACCTATACACGAGGCATCTTCAGGTGATGTTGACTCTGCAGTGGCTGATCGCTCTTAGCGGATAGATCTAAATTGGATATTCATAATCATTGTAAAACCTTTTCTTAATAAAATATTGTTTCAGGTGGCTATATATGCATTTCCTTATTTTGCAAGCAAGCATTTGGATTTGTTAGATACGTTATTTATTTCTTTACGCAAAAGACATACGCAGATGACAATCCTTCACATATATCACCATAGCATCATGCTTGTCTGGGGGTGGCTTTTTTATATGAGCCTACTCACTGATCACTTTGCAGTCGTCATTCTGTTGAATAGCGTAGTTCATGTGATAATGTACTTTTATTACGCGCTTACTGTGTGTGCGCCTCGTTATGCTTGGTGGAGGAAGCACGTTACCCAAATCCAACTGGTGAGTTTGTTTTTTCATTTACTTTTTATTTGGGTACAAACATTACAACACAAAACCCCCCGTGTAGTGGCGGGTACGAATACCCACTACCCTATATCTTCCCGTGGGTGTCGTAAGAGGCGACAGAGAAAAACTGAGGCAGAAGATAGGCAGCAGCATCGTTCTAATAACAGCATAACAACAATAAAGAAACTGCGGTTGCCAACCCGCTCACCAAGCGTGACAACTATGGCAATATTCCCCCTATGATAAAAGTTACGAAGAGAGGGCATCCAGTCCCCGGAGGTCCACTATTCCTGGCTACGGTGCAAACCATGATAACCGCGGGGTTCGGGGTGCTAAGAATCTCCGGTGGAGGCAGAGATTCTTAGCACCCCGAACACAGGAAGAGAGGGAGAGAACATGGTAATCCTTGAATCCGGCAACTTGTTCTATCACCGAAAGGCCGACCATCTGTTCCAAGGAGGTGTCGGATTTATCGTCAACGAGTCTCTCGTTAACAACGTTTTAACGATTAAGAGTGTGACGACGAGGGTTGCGTACCTTATACTCAGAATCACCAAGCGATATTCACTAAAGGTCACATAGGTTTACACACCAACCTCGGCACATCCCGACAAGGAGGTGGATTCAATGTATGAGGATATATCCAGAGCCATGCAATCCTACAAATCTCACTGTACGATATTGATGGAATACTTCAACGTAAAACTAGGCACAAGGAAAACGGTAAGCTCAAGGTAGGGAAATTTGGAATAGGGCAAAGGAAACCAAGGGGCCAGCAGTCGGCTGACTTCGTGGAGAAAGGGGGACGCTTGATGATGAAATCTTTCTTCCATATGCAGAAGAAGTGGACCTGGTCAAGCTCCGATAGTTTAACAAAAATGAGATTGACATTATGACGACCAGACAACAACTATTCAGTGATGTCTCAGGGATCGCGAGGGTGAAAACTAGTAGCAATCACAGAATGGTTAGAGGCACACTGAACCTAATCGTTAATTTGGAGAGATCTCGTCTAATTTTTTTTTAATAATTTTTTGTTCCTCATATATTGCCCACCAAATCCCTGTCTTAAATGGTACACACTTCAAATGTACCAACACTGACATCAACCGCTTAGAAAAAACAAAAAATACAAATCTTTAAAAAAGGTCAAGATAATAAATATCATACAATACCAATGATTAAGATAATAAATAAATCAAATTTTTACACCTTTTCAATCAATATTTAATTTGATCATTTTTGTCTAAACTATTATCTTAACCTGCTCTTCAATAAAATACGGCTTGATATAAATAAACACTACCTCATGCGGTCAGAGATAGCATTTTTGACACAGAATTATTTTTCTTTATGAATGTTGTTTGAGCTAGTCTCATTGCCTACCCATATTACAGAGAATAATCAGTTGGTTGGAAAATTTTATGTGAAAAGAAACCAGTGCTAGCTCAAATCTTATAAATATGGGTAGGTTAAATTAACATACATATGTTGGAAAGTCTATCACAATTTATGTTAAGATTATAGACAAATCTAGATAGAATCACACATGCAGCTAGTGTTCAGATAAATGTTTTACGTTTTAACAATGTAGGAATCCACGCACAATATCCAATATGGACAAAGGATATGAGATGTCTTCCGTAGTCCTGATGTTTAATTATATACACTTTTAAAAAAGTAACCCACCAGGAGGTATCAAGTCTTATTTCACGATAAACTATTTACACGCAAATTTTGTTACAATAAATTCATGACACTTTTTACAAATAAGTTTCTTGTTTTTGTTTTTTTACTAATTCTTTTCACCAGTCAGCAAGTCCAGATATTTGTTGAGTGCGGATGTTGACGCGCGACAACATGGCGTTACTTTTCAGCCGAGTCGTCTTTGTCCGGGCGCGACGCATATAGCCCCGGGTCGATTACCTTTGGTATCGGTTTTATCTCAGTGCCCAGCTCCTGTTCAATGCGGTGAAGAGCAAAGCGATCTTCATACGTTATTAGATTGATCGCAATACCCAAATGGCCGAACCGCCCGGAACGACCAATACGATCTAGATATGTCACAGCCATACGCGGGAAGTCGAAATTTATGACGACATTGACCGCTTGCACATCAATACCTCAGGTGAAGAGGTCAGAGCACACCAAGTTGCGGCAAAGTCCGACGCGAAAGTTGTGAAACACGCGATTACGGTGTGCCTGCGTCATTCGCGTGTGAATGTAATAGCAGCAGTAACCTAACTCTGTTATTTTTTTTGCCAGCAGCTCTACTCGCTGAGTGGAATTGCAGAATATAATAGAATGGTTTATTTGTAACTTTGAAAACAGTGTATTTAAGCAATTTACTTTTTGTCTTTCTTGTACAAATGCATAATACTGTGTGACACCTTTAAGTATAAGTTCCTCCATGAGGTTTATTTCATACGGTTCCCTTAAATGCTTTTCCATAAACTGCTTCACACTCAGTGGGAAGGTGGCAGAAAATAGCAAGATTTGGCGTTCTTTTGGTAATCGTGAAATAACCATATCTAAAATTCGTTTAAAGTCTTGTGAAAGTAATTTGTCGGCTTCATCAAGAACTAACATTCTACACTGGTCCATCTTAGCTACTTGTTTATCCATGAGATCAATCATTCGACCTGACGTAGCAATAATCACTTGAACATTTTGGTAAATACGCATTATGTCATCTCTGAGGTTTGTGCCTCCTGTGGTAACCGTTACACGAATATCTGTGTGCTTCGCCAGTTCAATGCAAATTTGTGATGTGTGTAGTGCTAGCTCTCTAGTTGGTACTACAATTAAAGCTTGTATAGCATCTTTTTTTAGATCCACCTGTTCTAACACTGGAATACAATAAGCTCCTGTTTTACCAGTTCCGTTTTTCGCTCTCGCTAGCACATCTTTACCACTAAATGCAATTGGGATTGAAGCCTCTTGAATAGGAGATGGCTTTTCCCATCCTTTTTCAAATTTTCCCATCAAAAGCTCTCTCTTTAAGCAAAACTCTTCAAATTCATTGCCTCTTCTATCTGTCACATCATTAGTCTTTATTCTTCTGTCTTTGATTTCCATCCTATGTCTTCAACAGTTTTATCCCTTGGTCTGGTTGCTCATGCTGTTTTCAACGCTGTTACTTGAACTGATTCTATTTTCTGTCATCATTTTGACAAATAACTCCCACTAATGATCACTAAAATTAGAAACTTATCACAAATATTTATCAAAGTCCAACACTAAACAAATTTTATGACAACACACTTTTAAATACATATGCTATTTGAAAAGTCTATCACGTTCACCAACTTAGTTGAGGGATACCTTGATAAAACTTTACGAAAGACCACGACACTCGATGACGTATACACGTGGTAGAGCCATGTTGCAGCTATATTAGTAGTATAGTTGTTGCACGAATGGGTCGGCTCAACCGGGGAAGAACCACGCTCTCACAGAATACCAGCGTATGGTGAGTGTGGAGAACCGGAGACCCTTTTAACTGGAAAAGAGGCATTCCATCTTAGTCCTCACGAGTGACAACGTATCTGCATTTTGATTCACAAACGGGGATAAATGTAGATGTCTATGGGCCACAGCAACCACTTACCATCAGGTGGACTGTGTGCTCGTTTGTCACCCTATCCTATAAAAAAAATGAAGTCAACGTTCCGTTCTCCTCGTGGTCTAACCCAAAGTCCCGAAACTTTTGAGCTCGAGTTACAAAACCGTTACCTGTGTATAGAAGACAGCATTGAAGTGGAAGATATGAATAATAATTTCGTGGAAACTGTCCATGCGGTCGGAGCTAAATTTTGCAAGACCCATCGCAGAAGAACATAAAAACTCTCCGATCATACTCTTAATCTCATGGCTGTTACACAGGAAATGAATCTGCAGTCTTCAGTAATTTTGACAGCATACAGGCAACTGATCAGACAGATATTCAAATACATGCAGCGAGACCTACGCAACTTTAATACTGCTCATATTAAAGAAGCGATCGAGCGGAACCAGGGCTCCAAAGTCTTTGCCAGAGATCTGTCTGCTATGAAGAGCCAACAATCGAAGCTGAAAGCCGAGTGCGGCAGCATCGTTTCCGGGACACCTGAGATTTTGAGTGACATTGAGAGGTTCTATGGGCAGCTGTACACATCATCTTTGGGGCCACACGCAAGTGAGAGTAACGATTCCGGACGTCAGTCTGAGCGAGAATAGAATGGCTCTCCAGAACCCTAGAAAGGCAAGGCCCCAGGCGAGGATCGAATTACAACTGAGCTTCTGAAAGCGGATGGATAACTGGTACTTGAAATCCTTCAGAGGCTCTTTAATTCCGTCCTCCAGGGTGGCACTACACCAGAGGTGTGGAGCAGAAGTGCGGTGGTTTTGTTCTTCAAGAAAGGGAACAACGCTCCTTTTAAGAAATGCAAACCGGTTACCCTGCTGAGCCGCGTCTACGTGCTGTTTTCGAGAGTCATTACGAATCGTCTTGCATGCAGACTTCACGACTTCTAGTCTCCCGAACAAGCCTGTTTTAGAAAAAGCTTTAGTACCACGTACCATAGTACCATGGACCACATACACACCCTTTGGAAAATTGTACAGAAGACAGAAGAGTACAATCTGCCACTTTGTCTTGCGTATGTAGACTATGAGAAAGCCTTTGATTCCGTTGAAATTTGGGTGGTGCTACAATGCCTTCAGCGGTGCCAAGTTGACTGTCGGTATATTGAAGTGCTGAAGTGTTTGTACAGTACGGCTACGATGGCTATTCGAGTACAGAATCAGAGTACGAAACTTATCCAACTGCAGAAAGGTGTAAGACAAGGTAACATTTTATCCCCGAATCTCTTCGCCGCTGCATTGGAAGACGTTTTAAAGACGACGCTTTCCAGTAGGGACTGGAAAAGATACGGTATCAACATCATTGGCGAATACATTACTCATCTACTATTTGGTGACGACAAAATTCTTATGGCAGAATTACTGGAGGACCTTAACACTATGCTCAATGACCTTAATAGTGTCTCCCAATGGATAGGTCTTAAGATGAACAAGGACAAAACAAAGATCATGTTTAATGTCCATGTCACATCTATACTGGTAGTTGTTGGGAGCACTAAGCTTGGAGTTGTTGGCACTACTGTTTACCTGGGACAAATAATCCGACTAGGTAAGTCCAACTTCGACCGAGAGGTCAATCGACGGATTCAACTCGGCTAGAGAGCGTTCGGGAAACTACGACACATCTTCTCGTCAGATATACTTCAAAACCCGAAAACGAAATTTTACAACCAGTATGTGTTGCCAGTGATGACTTATGGATCTGAGACGTGGTCCTTCAAGTATCCATTATACCGTGCTTGAGCTTTCTCATACGGTATACGTAGTATGAAGAAGCTCAAGGTCGCTCAGTGAGCTATGGAGAGGGCAGAGTTTCTCTGCGTGATCAACATAGAAATGAGTATATCCGCAATAGAACCAGAGTAACTGACATAGCTCAATGGATTAGTAAGCTGAAGTGGCAATGGGCCTGCCATATAGCTCGAAGAACCGACAACCGATGGAGAAGAAAGATTCTCGAGTGTCAGCCTCGTGTCGGTAGGCGAAGTGTAAGGTAACCCCCCGCTAGATGGAGTGACAAACTGGTAAGACATGCAGGAAGTCGATGGATGCAGGTGGCTCAGCACCGTGCTTTGTGGCATTCCAAGTGGGAGGCCTATGTTTAGCAGTGGACTTATGAAGGGCTGTAATAATGATGAGGTGGCTCAGGACCATACTTTGTGGCATTCCTTGGGGGAGGCCTATGTTCAGCAGTGGACTTGTGAAGGGCTGTAATTATGACGATAATGATGATGATGATATACGAAACCGAATCATATCAAAACATGTACAAAAGAAATATAATAAGGGCAAAACTTGCAAGCCTTACAAGCTTTACGTCTGATTTTCTCCGAAGCCACATGCTTTGAAACACAACTATGTTAGACGTGGTAAAGACACACTGTGGCTATATTGCACTTCATTAGACTGGGAAAGAACAAGGATACACATAATACCAGACTAAAATAGCAGCTCAACGCTTCTGTTTTTCGTATGATGAGCGTAGAGAACCGGAAATCTATGTTACTGGACAGGTGGCACTTCATCGCAGTCCTCAGGGGTGACAACACGTTTGAATTTGCATGCTTAATTGAGGATATAGGAGGGTGTACATGTCTATGGGCCACAGTATTCACTTACCATTAGGGCTGTGTGCTGTCGCTTGTCACAAATCTATACAAGTAAATAAAATTTAAGTGTCTTCTTAAGAATATTGCGTGCACCGATTAGTGTGATACTGCATAGTTAAAGTTTATATGAAGGAGTGCAGAAAGTTAAAATTTATGTATATTGAGTTACAAATATTAAAAAAATACGAGTATATCAATTGTTTACATTCATACTGCTAATGCCAAACACATAATCAAAAAATATATAATCACCACATAGTTATTCGGAAATACAAGGTGCAATATTAAGTGTTAATTTTACAAAATTTACAAAACTGAAAAAAGATATCGTAAGGGAAACCAGTGTGTGGCAAATTCAAAATATTTCTACAAGTGACCATCAACAACTTAACTGATGAAACAAGACAAGCTCATCGAGCAACTGCACCCAATTACTGCCATCTAGGACTTTTTTTCTTCCGAAAAATCTGTCTGGGCTGATACCACCTGCTACTTGTGCCATGCGTTGTGTTCCGGTTTTAAGGGTATAGAAAAGCAGTTTAATTACGGGCTGTAAGTCATTGTATTTTATTCCTCAGAGGTAACAACGCATCTGTAGCCGTTTTTTCGCAGATGGTATTACTGTGATTTCACACTTCAATTAAGTAAAGGGCTTACACTTGTTCAATAGCAGGAAGTAAGCTCTCTGACACTTGCACAATAGCGACATACATGTAGTACTTTAAAATATTGTTTCCTCTTCCTCCGTGTACGAGTAGTTTCCTTTTATTCCATGTTAGTCTTGGACTTAAAGTCACATGTTAATATGAGACTTACAACATAAAAATGTGTCAACTGTGTTACTTGCCTAGCATGTCTTAATAGGCGACTAGTAGTAATATTTTTTCCTTATTTTTTGGTTTGATCATGTTGGCCACTGGCAAGCCCCACCCATCACTGCTTTTACAGTTTTCTATGTTTATCCATATTTTTGGCTAAACATGGTCTGAGTGGCTCGATATTCTTTCGACTCTGCCTACTCAACTGGAGTTTACAGGTGTGACGTATCTTTATATTTATGTTTCCTTTTCAGTTTCAGTTCGTCTTGGATATATTTGTTATGTTCTATCATCAGTATCAAACACCGTGCCCTATGCCATTATCTATTCATTGGTTTGCTGTGCTTACTACAGCTACATTCTTTGGACTTTTTATGGATTTCTATTTAAAAAGATATGGTAGTAAAATTGAGAAGGCTATGTAGGGACGTAGAAAAATTTTATAAATACATTTATATCTTTTACATTTTTCATATTTTTATATAACGTGAAAATATTTGTATTGGTTGCTCGCTTTTAGTAATAGTACCTAAGTATTTAATGGTTCTATCACGTCTAGTATATGATATATCTGCTAATACTTTTAGACCTTAATATAACGAAAATTGTTAAAAATAAAGGAATTTTCGAAATCTCTGTTTTATTTTATGTTAAGGTAAAGGCACCTATTTCCAAGGGAATCTAAAATTGGCACCAAATTCCAAAGTATTTAGAAAAACTGCGTTTACCAGCGATTTATAAGAATTTTTTTACTGCAAGATCTCTTACTGAATTGATAATGTTACTTTGCGTAGATAAATCATCAAAGGTCTGTAGTTATGTAATGTGTTTACATTTTAAAATAATAGGTTAGTTTTGCGTCAGCAGTTGGATGCTTGAAGCCACACTTCATATATTTTGGACCGTGTGCACCTGATTAGCATGATTTTTAAAT